TGTTGGTCTATAGTATAAGGCTGTATGATCAGAACAGGGGCTTTTGACGTTAGGGAGAAGAAATTAGAATTATAAGTTTCCTGAATTGTCATTGTTTTGATTGCAGGATGGCTTTTAAACCTTTTCTGCTGGTTTTCCTATTTGACAGTACCACACCCCCAACTGACTGGCGGGTGTCTACTTCCCAAGCAGGAAAACCTGAGACACAAGGGAGCCAGTGAGAAAACAGAGTACATGAAGTTTAGTGGCGGTTGAGAGGTTTTGTTGGGATTGGAGGGGGGTATATCACGAGGGCACAAGCAGATTGGAGGGGCAAGGTGGTAATGAGATGATGGTTGTGAGGGGAGAAAATGAAATCGCTGGAAATCAAGTACGTAAGCACACTGGTACTAGAGAAAACATTCTTGTTCCTATAGACCCACGAGTAGTGCTGTAAAGATTAGTTACTTTTTACAACTGAGATGACACTTCAAAAGGTACTTAAGTGGCCGTAAAGCACTCTGAGATATCCTGAGATTGTAAACAGCACTATATAAATGCAAGTTTTTATTTATTTCTAATGAGCAGCCACAGACGGTGACTTGCAGCAGTTACTGTGAGCAGTGTTAAATCAATTTATGGAGAATTAATGATGACATTTTGCTTTCCTTCCCTCGAGGTATTTGCATAACATCCTCCCAGTTGCATTTTTTTTACGCAATCAAGGCTGACTGTGTTGAGCAGGAGAAATGACAGGATAAGGCTTGATAAGCAGAAGTCCTCGAAACTAGGACAACCGGAATACATCACGGAGTGCTAGGTTTCCAAAGCAAAGAGAAAGACCGCAAACAGCGACAGAGAGAGTAGGAGACAGAGATCATGGAAAATGCGTGGCAAAAGGGAAGAACTCAGTTCAGAATGGTTTTAAGGCAGTTTCTGAATGCCATGGGACATGTCATGTTCACATCAGTCTTTCTCATCTCAACGTCAGGGAGAGGTAAGTGCATGTGGTGTGAGGGATTGAATTACACTCTGGATGCTGATAGGCATCGCTCAGGCTCACTTTCGGGCTTTGCAGAGAACTTTAGTTCAGAGAATTTAAAACTTAGTGCGATGCACTTAAAACCTTCCTTCTGTGAAGCAGGTAGCCGGGGTAAAGCGTAAATAACTCTCCTCAAATTGGAAGCAATTTTCAAACAATTATTCCAAAGCGCCCCTTCTCAAGAAACCTTTTCTGAGTTTCCTGAAATTCCTTGTGCCACTGCCTGAGGTTAAAAGGAATAATATTCTTGCAACAGAGGGTGTAAATGAACCTTCTTACAATGAAAGATTCCTTTCTCTATAACGTGAGAAAGGTATTTTCACCTTCGAGGGTATGTCATTATTTCTGTGAGGCCCAAGATCTCACAAAGGGGACTGTATCCTATACACAGAATCATCAGATCTGCCTCATCCAGTTTACCAGTAGAATTGGCCAACTACAGTTTTTTTTAAAAGCCTTTATTTATATAGTGCCTTTCATGATTTCAAGATGTCCTAAGCGCTTTATAGCCAATTAAGTAAATTTTTTTCAGTTGTTCACTGTTGTAGTGCAGCAAACGTAGCAGCCAGTTTCCACACAGCAAGGATTAACACATGGTTATGTGATAACTAACACATAATCTAGTTTTACGGTGCTGATTGAGGGCTAGATACTGTCCCAGCCACCAGGGAAAATGACCCTGACCTTCAAAATAAGGCCATGGGATCATGTCCATCTATATGGAAAGGGCAGTCTACTCTGGGTTTACCACCCCCCCCGAAAATGGCAACCCTTGTACATTCCTGATTTATAATTGCTGGTGCCTTTGGCCGCCTACACACCTAAATGTGGAATTTTTTTTCTAAAGTCTTTGGCTCTCTTTCTCTCTCTTCCTTCATAATTTCTTCAACCCCTACCTCTTTGGCCCAAGTCTTATGTCAGCGTCAAATTTTCTTTTAATAGCTGAACTGTGAATCTGTTTGGGATGTTTCACAATGTTAAAAGTACTATAGAACTGAATGTTATTGTTCATGCTTGATTTTACAATCTGGGGGAAGGGGCAAGGGGCAAGGGGAGTGCTGTGACTATGTTCCCCAGTGGTATTATCCCAGCTCACTTTGGTCACGCATCACTGCAGAGATGTAGGTGTAAATACAATGCATTTGAAAGTAAGCAGATCAGCCACGTTCTTAATGGATGGTGGAGTACGCTTATTCAGAAATGGTACCTTCTTCTTCATTTCTGAAGAAGGGTCTAGGCTCGAAACGTCAGCCTTCCTGCTCCTCTGATGCTGCTTGGCCTGCTGTGTTCATCCAGCTCTACACCTTGTTATCCCCCATTTCTCTTGATCTTTTTAATGTCTAGAAATTGTATTGCTCTCTGTTTAGAATATTCTCAATGCCTGAGCTTCCACAGGCCCCGAGGCTAGAAAATTCCAAAGACTCTCCACACCCTGAGAAGAGAAATTCCTCCTCATTCTGGTTTAATGGCCTCCCTTTTAATCTGAGCCTGTGTCTCCTGCTTCTAGACCCACCAGCCTTGGCCACCCTTCCTGTATGCAGCCATCGAACCCTGTAAAAATTTTGTACGGTCCAATGGGATGACCTGTCATTCTGCTAAACTCTAGAGAATGCACACACAGTCTCTCAATCCCTCCTGAAGGGACAACCCACCATCCCAAGCATCAATCTGCTGAAGCTTCATTGCACTCCCTCTGTGGCAAGTATTATCCTTCATTCGTAAGAAGACCAAAAATATACACACTGAATAAACCAAGAGAAAAACAAAAATTAAAAATTATTACAATAAGTCATAGAGTCATAGAGCTGTACAGCATGGAAACAGACCCTTCTGTCCAACTCATTCATGTCGACCAGAAATAAGTTGAGGAAAGTTCTGACCTCAATCCATGTACTCCCAGAATCTCTATTGCTCTTTCCTTGCAAGATGTCAAGGGCCATAGCTTGGGTA